TACCACGTCATATAAAAGTCGATAAAAATAGCGTCATTACGGTCGTTGGGTTTGCAGACGCCAGCGAGAAAGCTTACGGGGGGCGTTGTATATTTCCACGTCCAGAATAATGGTAGAAATTCGATTAGCCTCATTAGCTCTAAATCAAGAGTCTCCCCCCGTAAGGTTGTCTCTCTGGCGCGCTTAGAGCTTTGCGCAATATTAGTCCTCATGCCAATATACCGCAGTTATCAGCGCATGTAGGGACAAAGTTCACATAGAAATGATATTTGCCTTTTCCGACTCCACCGTCGCTTTATGTTGGGTTCATTCTTCACCCCACCGTTGAGATACGTTTGTCGCGAACCGAATGGCCAAGATCCAAGACGAGGTAGGAACGCGGAACTTTTATTACGTGTCCGGTACGGAAAACCCTGCCGATTGCCTATCCCGTGGACTCACCCTGATGCAAATAATGGACCATCCGCTTTGGTTCCACGGACCTTCCTGGGTTCACTTGGAACCCTTGCAATGGCCAATAACCGATTTCGACCCTTCGTCAGTGTCACAACCTCCGGAAGAGAAGAGGCACGCTCTGGTGGCGAGCGTTTCTAGCGAGGTTTCTCCAATCATTGCTTTCGTTCGTATATCTTAGCATCCGATTACGACTATGCCGAGTTGCTAGTATTGCGTGAACTTCAACGTGTACATTTTTACGAGGAAATTACAAGATTACAATCGAATAGAGCTTGTAGTCGCGCTTTTCAACGCCTTAAGCCATTTTTACAAGATGGGTAATAGGCTTAAGGCTCGACCGGGGAATTGGAATTCGGTAACCTTAGGCCCGTCGCTCAACCACCTTAAATAGGAGTTACTAGAGTCCAAATAATTAGTAATTCATTTATTGGCAATGTGTACGCTTTTACAAGAAAATCGTAGAAAGTGTACAAAATTAGACAATTAACCAGTTAATGTGTTTTAACTGGCCGACTGCCAGGCGAGGGGTTAAAGGAAAATGTACAAAAAGGGTTATTATAATATCAAAGAATACATAAATGAAAATAACCCCTGGGAATGAGGTGATCGCCACCATGCTGGTTCCGTCAAATTTTTTTTAAAAAGTGTACATGCAAAATTATTGTAAAGTGAAATATGTTTTAAAAAAACTCCCGCTGAATTTCCTGTTAGTTCTTCCTAGGACAGAGGTATTTTCCGAACCAGTGGTACCTAAATAAAAAAATACTTTCTATATGTAAGTATTATGTAATAATCTATATTAAATAAAAATTATTCTATTCTTTGTAATATTAGATATTTACTAACTAGTAGAGACATTGTATAAAGAAATCAATTTATATTGTATAAATACCTCTAATATTAAAATTATTAAACAAAGAATTCTTAAACAATAAACATTTTAAAAATAACCGGTTTTTATTTTTTGTAATGCGAACTAAAATTAACACAAGAAACAAACAATTATTAAATTACATTGCAGCAATTGAACAATGTAATTAATGGTGCTAAATTAAGTAAAAATTGTTAAGTAGAAATAAAGGGCGAGCTTAATGAAAACACAGCGCAAATTAAGGCCCCAGTCTTGTAAAAATTAGTGTTCTCGCAAAACTTACAGCAAAACAAAGTTCTTTCATAGTATTAAAAAGGAAAAAGTGGAACAAATTTTACATTTATTGAAAGTGTAGGATTTGATATTTTCGAAAATGTTTTTTAATTTTATTTTGGTGTTTAAATTAATATCTCTATTAGGCGTTAAACATGCCTATGTTTAGGTTACATACGTAAAAGGTCTTATTAAAGCCTCTGCTATGTACAAACTATAACAATATCAAGAAAAGTATTCAGATCACATTTATTTACATATTGTCTACAATAATCTAATCTGGTCACTTTTTTATAAATGCTTTAATTTTCTTATTTGGAGGGCTTAAAAAGTTGTAATTTCATGATTTTTTCTACTGCAAATATCTATTTTTTTTCTATTAGAAGTATAAATGTAGCAAATTCGTACTTAAAACCACATAAAATAGAACTATTTTCAAGTGAATTAGAAATAAATAAAATTAAAAATATATATATTTTCATACTTTTTACCTATATTCCATTTATAAACCAGAAACACCTGAAAATTCTCTCAGTTCCGCTGGGATTTCTCGGCGTTCAGACGTGTGCAGTGTTGCTCAACGTTACTTTACCTCTCGCTCCCAAGGTTGGTCTCTTTCCCTCGCGCAGCTCTTATGAACTGAGCGGAGCGTATCGTGAAAGTTGCTCTATTTAAATATATATTATTTTTATTTAATTCTCATATTAGTTCTAGTTTTAGTGTATTAGAGTTTACATTAGTATTAGATTAATTGACTTGGACTTCTATATTTGGAGAATTTCAATTAATTACCAAAAGAAAAATAAACGGAAAAAGATGGATAGAAAAATGAAGAAATATCCTTGTGTCAGTAAAAATAGTAGTAAAAGTAGTAGTAAAGTACAAAATGTACAAGGTAGAGGCGAAATTTGTATGAAGAGGCAGTTTTTATTTTCCTTCGGGAGTAATAACCCTTTTTAAACCTACATCCCGTATAAACATTACTAAAAACGACATTTATGAAATATAAAAGGCCACCACGACAAAAGTAAGGAATATTTTTGTAAAAAATTTAATAAGTTATATATTTAATGAAGTAGAGCAACCTTCTCATGCGATCTACAACGTATTTATGCACGGGGGAGAGCGCCTCCTCTAATGGCTGAGAATGTAAAACAGCAACGCTAGACGGAAGCCAGGGGGGGGGGTACACTTCCATCCTTTAGGTTGTGTTCAATAATTTGCAAAGGCACTAGTGCCATCTTGTACGATATCCGCATAAACTTTCGAACATTAAATTCTAAAAGGTGCGGTAGATGGCGACTACATCAATTCTGGTCATTCTCGAACTGGCAAGTAGCAACTTTATATCACATAATGGCTACCGGCGTCTCAGCAAGTTGTTGTTTTATTATAGTTTATAAGTGATTTTCGGTTGTTGCTACAATAAGTTTGGTTGAGTTGGGATTAGCCCTCTGTTTATTGTTGTCTGTTTTCATGCTGGAACCACATTGTATGTTTGTGTAGTGTTGTGCGAAATAGACGCTTTCATTTATCATTCCGGTAACCCGGTGGACATATTTAATTTGGTTTGGTGTTGTATTTTGCGGAATAGACGCTTTTACATCGTGTATGTGAAATATATATAACAAAAATAAATGTTGATATTACTGAAATCTATAATACGTCTTTAATTGAACCCTAATCCATTAAAATATAAATATAACCACTTATAGTATAGATAGCTGAATATACATAACTACATACATCTATCTATAGTCAACATTATATTGCGATTAGTTCAAGGGATATGATACCACACGGCGACACTATTTATATTGTGTGACAAAAAATCCTAGGAGATGGCTCTCTATTTCTGTATATATTACTCTACTCTATGACGGAAGACTTAACGAAAATTAAATTTTGAGTCGCGCAACTATAGTATGTGCCAAATCGATCGAGAAAAACGGACAATGACCTCAGATATGAGCCGAGTGTCAAAATGCGTAACTTACAAAATTTCAATTTAGATGTGATAACAATATTTTAATATTGATATTATTCACACTTCTAGGTCAGAACATATGTTTTTTTTTGTTTCTTAAATAATATTGTCTGTGGTTCGCATAAACATCGTAAAATCTTTCGGTACATAGCGAAAAATTTGTTATATTTTATATTTCAATTTATGGTAAGTCACACAGCAATTCATTTAATAACAGTTTCATATTAAAAAAAATTGAAGCAATGTAATCACCATATTGAGCTTTTGCAAATTCACCCCTTTAAAATAAACTAAACGCGCGATACGTCAGTTCGTTCTTAAAGAAACGTGACAATGGCAGCCAGAGATGCATCACTTTTTTTGGGCCGGTCCGCATGCACAGAATAAAAATAAAGTTCTTATGTAATATTGCAAATAAAGTTTTATCTTTTGAATAAGTACGTACTTATTCGGTGTCGTTATCACTCGAATCTTTATATGAGTTATAAATTAATGCTTTTTGTTGTTAAATGAATAAAGTACTTAATAACAATAGATGATTTTTCTTCTATGGCGATCTTTTACATATTTTTTAATAATAGTTAATAAATATATATTATATCAAACATTATTAAAAATAAAAAAATATCATTATAAATAAAGGAAATACTACATATAAAATGTAATAAATATTGAAGGTTTGTAACCCCTGGTTAAACGACCGAAAGGTCATTGTCCATTCCATCATTGTTTTTCTCAATCGATTTGGCACATATTATAAGCAACTATATCTCTTTAGTGTATATACAGTAATGTAGGGATGAGCAAGTAAAAAAATATATCGATATATATCGTATCGATATTTTTAAACACTATCGATTCATATCACGTGATAAATATCGATATATCTTCATGGTTTGCATGATGTGGTAGGACTAGACTCAAAATGGTTTTACTGGAAGGTAAGACGATGAAAATAAAACAACAGCAATTGAATGCTTTTGTAGCTAATTTTGTTACTTAATGTTATGTCGATTAATATAAAATTTTAAAATATGTCGAAATTACTACGGATTCGATGTTGCAAAATAAATATCGAATATCGATATATCGAAATTTAAAAATATCGGCGATATTTTTATGAAAAAATATCGATATTCAATATTTTTTGCTCAAGCCTACATGGTTACACTTTATAGGTTAAATTCATCATGGGTTAAATATGGGTTATTAGCTTATTAGGTATAAGTAATACAAATAAAAACACTGCTACAAATTATCTATGTACAAAACACAAATACATATTACAATAATTTAATAATAAGCTGTTTGTTGTATCAGCCGGTATTACCTACCATTTACATAATATAAAAATAATGTGCCGTAGGTACAATAAGTAATTAAATGATCTAAAGTTAATTATAAAGAGAGGATATGGCGAATTCCATATTATTAAAGGTTAGTGTGTTTATATACGTTTTGTTAGCTCCGTTACAACTCAACGTAAGCCCGGCCTGTCTATATTATTACTGTAATAATTGTCACTAAACCCTTTGTTGAAGCACCAAGTATATTCATGGCTTTTCGCTACAGGTCCTTGCCTTTGCATTGATTCTTGGTTCCTTTCGATGATCCTACTTTTATTCAGACGACACACTCCGGGGTCAATACACAGACTACAAGGCCGATATCAAAATTGATTGATCTCTGTGACTGGTTACCGAGAGCAATATTACTGGTGCAAGGCAACAACTCCACATTCACCATCTGCTTAGAATTTGATCATACTGCTTGCCCAGCGAGTATAATCAAATTCTTTAATAAATGCGTTTTTGGAGAGATCTTGCCCAGCTGTGAACTGGAAAAGGCTGTTGATACCATCAAGTATAAGAGGCCACAAGCTCTCAAGTTTGTCACTTATAATACTTATGTCATTTGCATTTATTCTTTCCCTAGAAACATGTTTCAATGGTAAGATACACTTTGGTTTTTATAATAGAGAGAGTGACAAATGAGCTCACTGTCCATATGATGGTAAGTGGATACTGTGGTCCATAGACAGATCTACATTTACTATCAAATATGTTCTAAATATAGGTTCATTATCACTACTTATGACTAAGATCAAAACCTAATGCCACTAAGGAGGGACCTCAAGTTCTCGACACTAACTATAAAACACAGCAGCATTATGCTGCTATTTCAGGCTCGTATTCTGTTAAAGTGTGTCCTTCCCCAGTTGAGCTGGACTATTTGTGCTACAGGCATAAAATAGCTGCTGTGTGGCTCTGCTACAGAAACATTGTTTGTTGAGACAGCGATAATACTACTTCTGTGATAAAATGGGCCTTCATTTGTTTTGTTTTAGTTTGAAGAGTAATGAGATACAATCGAGTAAGGATTAATTGTATTTCATTACTCTTCATACGTCTATTTATATGTGGTAGAGCCCTGCTGCAGTTATATTAGTAGTGCAGTGAGTGCCTTTTCACTGGAAGGAGACCCTTTTTACTGGAAATGAGGTATTCCATCTTAGTCTTCATGGGTGACAACGCATCTGCATTTAGATTCGTAATTGAGGATAGATGTATATATCTATGGGCCACAGCAATCACTTACCATCAGGTGGACTGTGTGCTCGTTTGTCACCCTATCCTATAAAAAAATCAAAACAGGTATTTTAAACAGAAAATTTTTGGTGGTTGGATTATGACCACCCTAACCTTGACCATAGTACCTATCCTCTTACCTGTTTCTACCAATAAATAGCAGTGCTCACACTGCTGTGTGCCATTCTAAAGGGTGTAGAAAGCCAGTATAATAACAGGCTTTGAGGTATTCCATCTTAAACCTTGTGACAAAGCATTTGTTATATTCTTTGTTTGAAGTAGACTGCAAGTGTCCAAGGAATGCAGTAGCCACTTAGCATCATATGGACTGTTAGTTTGTTTCTCAATCATTATGAAGCATTCCATATTAGTCTTCGTGGTTTATGACACTGTTCTGTAGCCTTTGTTTGAGTTGCAGAAGCCACTTGCTTTAGTTACGAGTGACTGATAAAAACAATATTGCCTTTATTATTCCAGCTGAGCTCACTGAGATTTGCTTCAGCAACTTTAATACAACCATGTCGTACAACAACTTCAAAACATTTCAATCCCAAGTATAAAAAGGAAAGGGCTGGTAAATACCTAAAACTTGATTTGCCTCAACCTAATCAAGATGTAGGAGAAATGACTCCAGAGAAAATGAGACAAAAAATGAAGGAAAGGGGAATCTTGCCACCAAGACCTTGGATGGAGCGTCCATTCTATATTTCTGCGACCGGTCGGTATTTTGATTTATCAATTATTGTATAAATTTGGTCAGTTTTGCATTTCAGATAAGTTTACATTTAATTAGATGATGGATAAATATCTAGATTCTCTTAATAGTGCAGGCATATCCATTGGGATCTTGTTAGTGGACGACAGAGGAAAATTAATCAGGACATGGACAGCAGCATCTTCCTTATAACAACTCAAAATAATTTTCAGTTACCCGATTCCCAAGTGTGGCCACAATGTGTTATGGGGAAGATGGGGAATCTATGGGATCAAGGTTTAGCGGTGTACTTTCCATAGGCTATAATGGTATTGAAATTAGTAAAGATTCAGCCAACTGTGAGAAAACAAGATTATTTCAGAAAATTGCCACCTATGCTAACAGTTAGATGGAACATGTATTTATTTTATTTATTTAAGTACACCAATGATTGTTGCAACAATGCAGTGTAGCAGCCAGATTAATCAAACCTAAACGGGAATAAATAATATATACTCCGCTGCTACCATAACGCGGAAGGCGAGAATAAATAAAAAAACATTTTATTTCCTAATTATTCTTGGCTACTGAGATACTGCGGACTGTATATAGATAATTTGACGTTCTTATAAAGAAACAAGAAGCAGCCGCAAATATCATTCAGCGCCACACCGACTTCACACGCCGCTATCGTCACGTATCCGTCGACCAATGGTGAGCCGTTTCTTCAACGCCGCAGTTCGTTTCCTCTTGCTGTTCCGGAGCTGTATTCCACACCGCCGCCGCCCGCCGACTACGCGTGCGCACCGATCTGCATGTCTTATATAGCCCGGTCCAGCGACGTAGCTTCGTGAACAACAAACAAGTCTCACGCCGGGAAACGAAACGTAGATAATTGTATATTTTAAATAGTTTTCATTGTAGTCGTTTGTCGTTTTTGTCGTCTTTTGTGTCGTTTGTCGTTTTCAGTGTAGTTGTCATAAAATAAGCAATATAATTGGCTAGGCAAAATATTAATTGTTACCATTGGCAAATCAATAGTGAGCCAGCCATATAAATATAGGCAAGGTTGATGCAAAATATATTCCATTCCGAATCCCATTCGACAGTACATTCTAAATTCATACTCCGCTTTGCTTATAAACAGTAGTTTCATTTCTCCACCTTAAAGAAAACCACTCGGAGTCTGTTAATAGTGGACAGTTCGTCTCCACTATTACAGTGGTGACCCCGTACGAACACCGAGGGGGGAAGATCCGGTACGAACACCAAGAAGGAACACCCTGCGACGTACCACTACTATTGCACAAACACCGCGAAGGAAACCCGTACGAACACCGAGAAGGAAGACTTCAGTTTATATAAAATCAGTGTAATCAAGCCGTCATTATGGAGCAGGAGGCAAACACATATACATCAAACCCGGTAAAGGAACCAGAAATCGCCGGTATATCTCTATCGTTAAGAATACCACCGTTTTGGAGAGACAAACCACGACTTTGGTTCGTCAGTTTTGAAGCCGCAACGAATGGTTTAAAGAAGAGCCAAGCGCAATTAGCACAGATGGTGATAGCCCAACTTGAGAAACAAGACATCGAACAAATTGCGGACCTGTTGTACAACCCACCAGCAGTCGACCAGTATAAATCACTGAAGGATCGTCTGATCTCCGCATATGAAGAATCCGACAGTCGACAGCTACAAAAACTTCTATCAGAAATAGAACTTGGAGACCAGAAACCCACACAACTCCTACGCAAAATGCGTACTTTGGCGCGAGATAAAGTTCCGGATTCAACACTACGGCTAATGTGGGTAAACCACCTACCACCACATATTCGATCGGTAATAGCAGTCAGCAAAACATTCAGCACGCAGACGAAGCTCGACGAACTGGCACTCCTGGCGGACAAGATGATCGAAAACAGCAGTAGCTCACACATATCGATCATCGAAGGCACTTCAACAAAGGCCAATGATACCCAGTTTCTTCTCGAAGAAATTCGGAAGCTATCATTCGAAGTCGCCGCTCTCAAAGCTTCCCAGCATCATACCTTTTACCAGCAACAGTACAACCAGCGCAATCAGCAACACCGAAGATCACCTTTTCGTCGCAACCGCTCTGCAAGTAGAAGTCGAATAAGCTCAACATCAAGATCCCCTTACTGCTACTATCATCGACGTTTCGGGGTCGAGGCAAGAAAATGCACAGCACCGTGTACATTCAAAAATGAAAATACGAATACGGAAAACTAACTAGTACGCTCGATGCGACGGGATCCAGCGTAACAGCAAAGTCCTACCGTCTTTTCGTCACCGATAAAAAAAGCAAGCTTACTTTCCTTATCGACACCGGAGCAAATATCTCAGTGTTACCGCCGAAGCAAGGACAGAAGTTGAAGCCACTAGATTTTCAACTCTATGCAGCAAACAATACGGTTATTCCTACATATGGAGAAAAAACAATGGAACTTGATTTTAATCTACGCCGACCATTCAAATGGAGATTTATCGTCGCTAAAGTCAGCAAACCAATCATCGGTGCTGATTTTCTTCAACATCACCAGTTGGTCGTCGACATCAAAAATAGAAGAATCATCGACGGGAAAACCAATCTTGCATCTCAGTCTTTTGTACAAGCAACCAATCTGCCCACAATAAGAAGCATAGATGTGCAACAACCGTATCACAAGATCCTCGAAGAATACCCTGGTATCACAAGAATAACTTCAATGAAATTAACACCGAAGAACGACGTTGAGCATTTCATCGACACCAATGGACCACCACTTCATTGTCGTGCACGTCCAATCGCACCACACCTATACGAGCAAGTTCGAAAGGAATTCGAAAACATGATTGAGCAAGGAATATGCCGTCCAAGCAAAAGCCCTTGGTCATCACCACTTCACATTGTACCGAAGAAGAACGGATAATTACGAGTTTGTGGAGATTACAGAAGACTGAATTCTATTACCACTCCTGACCGCTACCCAATACCGCGAGTCAGGGATTTCACTCATCAACTATCAGACAAGACTATATTCTCCACCATCGATCTCAACCGAGCTTACCAACAAATAAGAGTCCGCGATGAAGACATAGAGAAGACAGCAATAATTACCCCAATGGGATTATTCGAATTCCCAAGAATGATCCCAGGATTAAAGAACGGAGGTCAAACTTTCCAAAGATTCATACACGAAGTACTTCATGGACTGGATTTCGTTTTCGCATTTATTGATGATCTCCTTGTTGCAAGCCCTGATAAAGAAACGCACGAAACCCATCTACGCACCGTGCTACAGCGATTAGAAGACAACGGAATCACAATCAACCCTTCGAAATGCATATTTGGACAGCAAGAAGTTCAATTTCTTGGTTTCACCGTCAGCAAGGAAGGAATAAAACCGCCTGCCGAAAAAGTCAGAGCAATCATCGATTATGCAAAACCTAAAACTATCGAAGAGCTAAGGCGTTTTCTTGGGATGATAAATTTTTACAGAGAACACATACCTAAAGCCGCTGAAATCCAAGCACCACTTCACGCCTACCTTCACAACACGAAGAAAAAAGATAAAACGTCAATCGAATGGAACGATGAAGCCACGAAGGCATTTGAAGCTTGTAAAATTGCGATCCAAAATGCAGCTTTACTCGCTCACCCATCACACGAAGCAACCCTTGCTATCTTCAGCGACGCATCCGATCTCTCAGCAGGAGCAGTTCTCCAACAATACAGCAATGGGAAATGGCAACCACTTGGATATTTTTCGAAGAAGTTCTCCGATACTCAACGTAACTACAGTACATTCGACCGAGAGCTACTCGCTATTTACATGGCTATCAAGCACTTCAGAAAAACGTTCGAGGGTCGAAACCTGATCGTTTTTACCCCGACCACAAGCCATTAACATATGTACTTCCAAAGAAACCATCACTATCGGAAACACCACGAAGAGCAGGACAACTTACTTTCATAAGTGAATTCACGACCGACATACGTCACATCAGTGGAAAGGACAACATAGTTGCCGACGCACTCAGTCGCGTACCAGTCGACAGTGTAACGTGCCCTACATCAATCGACTATCATAAGATCGCCGCAGCACAAGACAGAGATAGTGACAACATAAAACATCTATCGAAGCAAGGTAACTTGTCCATCAAGCAAGTTACAATGCCAATGACGCATCTACCTATATACTGTGAAGCCTCAACGACAACCATGCGACCATACATACCAGAAGAATGTCGTCGCGAAGTCTTCAATGCACTGCACAACATTAGTCATCCAGGTGTTAGAACAACAAGAAAACTCATCACTGAAAAATTCTTTTGGCCTGCAATGCAAGCGGATGTTGGCAACTGGGCGAAGCAATGCATTCAATGCCAAAAATGCAAAGTACAAAGGCATACATCAAGTAGTCTAGCTACATTTCCACCCACGGAGAGATTCGAACACTTGCACGTTGACATCGTTGGACCATTACCTACTTCACCGCAAGGACATCGTTATCTCGTAACAATGATCGACAGAACAACAAGATGGCCAGAAGCAATTCCTACCGATGATACTTCATCCGAATCCGTCGCGAAGATAATTTATGAAAATTGGATTACTCGTTTCGGATCACCTAAAACCATCACAACGGATCAAGGAAGGAATTTCGAAAGCAACCTATTCCTCAAACTTCTTCAAACTATGGGAATACAGAAGACGCGTACAACAGCATACCATCCTCAGTCAAACGGAATAATCGAACGATGGCATCGTACATTAAAGACTGCACTCAAAACTCGTTTATCTCAACATACAAAGTGGATTGATGAGCTACCTACAGTGCTACTCGGACTACGAGCAACACCGCGTGCAGACACTAGTCTTAGCGCCGCTCAGCTAACCTACGGCTGCAGCATAAGGCTGCCGTGTGACTTCTTCAGTTCAGCAGCGTCAAACAAACAAGAAATGGATTACGATTTCGTAACTAAACTTCGAGAATCAATTAACAAAGCCTTATCGTTGAAATGCACCGAAATGCAATCACACAGAAATAATAAATCAGTATTCATTCACCAAGATTTGAAAACATGCAAACAAGTTTTTGTAAGAAACGACGCAATGAAAAAACAATTTCAACCTACCTACGATGGACCGTATAAAGTATTAGAGAGAAATAGCAAGACTTTTAAACTACAAATACCCGGAAGGAAATCTACGATTATATCGATCGACCGACTAAAGCCTGCCTATATTATTAACGAGGATACTGCAGAGGATTCATCATCATCATCAAAACCCAGCGAGGAAGCTTGAAACTTCATCATCTACATCAACCCAGTTGAAACCTATTTTAAAAACTACGAAATACGGGCGAGTCGTCAAGCCTCCGGTACGCTTTCGCTGGGGGGAGAGTGATGTAGCAGCCAGATTAATCAAACCTAAACGGGAATAAATAATATATACTCCGCTGCTACCATAACGCGGAAGGCGAGAATAAATAAAAAAAACATTTTATTTCCTAATTATTCTTGGCTACTGAGATACTGCGGACTGTATATAGATAATTTGACGTTCTTATAAAGAAACAAGAAGCAGCCGCAAATATCATTCAGCGCCACACCGACTTCACACGCCGCTATCGTCACGTATCCGTCGACCAATGGTGAGCCGTTTCTTCAACGCCGCAGTTCGTTTCCTCTTGCTGTTCCGGAGCTGTATTCCACACCGCCGCCGCCCGCCGACTACGCGTGCGCACCGATCTGCATGTCTTATATAGCCCGGTCCAGCGACGTAGCTTCGTGAACAACAAACAAGTCTCACGCCGGGAAACGAAACGTAGATAATTGTATATTTTAAATAGTTTTCATTGGTCATAAAATAAGCAATATAATTGGCTAGGCAAAATATTAATTGTTACCATTGGCAAATCAATAGTGAGCCAGCCATATAAATATAGGCAAGGTTGATGCAAAATATATTCCATTCCGAATCCCATTCGACAGTACATTCTAAATTCATACTCCGCTTTGCTTATAAACAGTAGTTTCATTTCTCCACCTTAAAGAAAACCACTCGGAGTCTGTTAATAGTGGACAGTTCGTCTCCACTATTACAGTGGAGATCTCCCGCCGGGCAAGGTGTTCTGCCCGGGGAGCGGCCGACACTCCAAGTGATAGTTCGGAGAAGTTCTATATATACTGTCTATGATTCGGAATGTTGATAGCGTGATTTAGGCTTCGGTGTATTTCGCTTGTGGCGGCGACGACAGCGCCGCTACAGCAGAAATAGTAAGCACACATCAACTTAGATACTAATTGCGCTATCAATTAAATGTATACACCGCATGCTTCAAGTTACTAAAAAGTTATCTAGTAGTTATAAATACATAAGATACAAAAACTTAGGATAGAACAAAGGAATATTATGTGTATAAAACAATGACTTATACCTAGTTACTTAAATAATGTATTGTTTACTGTGGCCTTAAACTTAGCTAAAGACATAACATGAACATCTATTGATCCACCGCACTTATAATATAGTTGGGAAAACCTGGAAACTGGCGAATTGGCTTATTATATGTGATAGAGCAATGCTGCAGTTATATTAGTAGAATAGTTTTAGTGTAATGGGTCGGCTCGACTGGGGTAAGACCACATTCTCACAATACCAGCGTAAAATAGTAGCTTAATGCTGTGTTTCGTATGGTGAGTGTAGAGATCCGGAGAACCGTTTTACTGATAACATACGGCATTCTGTCTTAGTCCTCACGGGTGACAATGCATCTGCATTTTAATCAAGGATAGATGTAGATGCCTACGGGCCACAGCAACCACTTACCATCAGGTGGACAGTGTGCTCGTTTGCCACCCTATCCTAACTGGCTCCCAGAACTGTTTTACGAAATGGACGAGGTTCAATGGGCTTTTATAATTTAGGACAACCAAAGATAATTACAATAATATATGTTCACAAAATAATATATAAACCTAATTTTTAAATGTAAAACTGGCAGCCACAACATGCTTCACACGAAGAGTAAAATTTTATAATAATAAAGCCATTTTATCTCTAAATATTATTTTACATTGTATTTTGCTTAAATCATATAGAATACAAATTACATGTAATATTTTGTCCAACTAAATGAAATTTACTTTTATTTTCTTCCTTTTATATATTAATATGCAGATGTGGGCATAAATAATACACTTATATACTGTGAGAGTTGAAAGTGATATACAGCTTGTTATAGCCTGTATATGTCCCAGTGTTGGGCACAGGCCACCTCTCAATTCTGATTTTGGGGCAAGAAAATGTCTGTCGCGCTCCCCCAATGAATGTTGACAAAATTTCTCTGACATGCAGGTGTTTCCTCACAATGTTTTTCTTCACCGCCGAGCATGTGGTAAATCAGCACTTAAAATTGCAATTAATAATTTCATTCATTCCAGCAGGGATTGAATCCGGGTTGCTTGGGTACTGTGAAATCTACAATGAGCTCTAAGCCTCTGGGCTACTATAGCATTATACAAACTTAAAAATGTAATCAAATACTTTTGAATTTAGACCACTGGGCGACCACAAGTTTGTCTAAAGATACAAATGCATATACATACAACAAAAGACCAAATGTTTAATAAATTCTCCTTACGTTTTATTATTTCTTCCTACGCACTAAACATGCATCACCATACAACCATAAATATAAAACATAACTAAAACCTTTCAGGTGGTGTGTTTGAGCCTTACATACCACCGGAAGGCGACGGCAAAGCATCCATTGTTTCAACTACCCGTGCCAAGCAAACCGTGCAGTTGTTAGAGAAGAAATCCAAGTCTATGATGGCCATAAGAAAGATTAAATCTTTCGACGAGGACTTCAGCACAGCTGATTTCTGTAGCAAGGCTCAGGACATTTATATTAAGGCGCATGAGAGTCTTGCTAATGACGACAAACATGCAATGCGGATGTATGTTACGGAGAAAGCTTATCCTGAGTTCAGGCACAACTCTCGCTTGAAGACCATCAGGTGGAAGTTCCTGGAATCGCTGGAGCCGCCGCGCGTGGTCCATGCTCGCTGCACGGATATTGTCAGCAAGGAAAACATTTTTGGACAGGTACCTGTCCCTTGGTATTATTATAGTCATTAAGTTTTAGAATAGAGTTGTAGCAGAAGTAGACAAAAGCGATATTTGTCTCGAATGAAAAAGTCTTCTAATGCCTCTCTGTCAAATAATGTCAAAAGCCCAGAACATGTGAAGCAGAGATGGGCCGAACATGGATTCCACCAAATACGAATATTCGGCCGAAATATAACCAATCTAACCAATTTATGTCGCAACTTGTTACCGTAAAGCGCGCGGGATCAGCACCGGAACGTGCCCCTCGCTGATCATCTAGTCCTGAGCAAATTGCCCGCACATGCTTATGTTTAAACTATTTTTGTGAGAAAAAAGTATTTCGTTTTGTTATTCTTTAATTTAATTAACTTAAATTTAATTATGACGATAACAGAATTTATATATATATATATAGATAACAGAAAAAATGATAAAAATGAGTGGTAGGAGAGGTCTACTATTCGGAATTATTCTAGAGAAACTGACGACCAAAGTAAAGTGAAATGAACAAATGTAATGTGATGTTTCTTTGTTTGATTCCAAAAACATTTTATCAAGCTTTCTATTTGTTATAATTGGAAATAAATCTACAGTGCCTCAAAAACATAACCCTATATAAGTAAAATTAACCCATAAATATAATATACTTTCAACTATGAAATTTTAATTATAAAAGACATGGCATTATTTAATTCGTACATTTCAATACAGTGGACAATTTGAGTAGTTCGAATATTCGGTAAAGTTGCCGAATATGCCGATTACCGTATATGAAACGAATATTCGAACCATTTTTTTCATTTATTTTGGTATATTGGATAAGTCATAAATTGCACAAGAACAAACGTCTAGATTTACAATTTTTTTTGTTTCAGCAGAGTTAACGTAACATATTACTTCAATCTTTATATCTTTATAACAGAGTTTTGCACATAGTCTTAGTAATTTGAGTGATTGTTTTATCTATACAAATTATCAAAATTGAATTGTCTGTAAAGTACTTACTTAAAAAATTAATTTTTAAATTTTTTTCTGTTCTGACTAATCTCTGAAATGATTTTGACGTGACTTTCACTGGCAGATAGTTGATGTTATTACAAGTCACTTATATATAATATACAACTTTTAGTTTTATTACTTACATTAATTCCGTATGGACGAAGTCTCAAGGGGCAGATTTTTAAGAAAAAAGAAATAAAAGATAACGAAAAAGTTTATGTATAAAATTATATTATTTATCCGTAGGTAACAGTTCGTTTCCACACGCGGCAGCAGCTGGCAGTATATGATCGCTTCGGTCGTTTGCTTCACGGCAGCGAGATCCTCGCCAAAGATGTACTGGAATATATAGTGTTCGAGAAACATCTCGCAAACCTTTACGGGACCTGGCGCATTCACGCCAAGATAATCCCAGATTGGGCACCACCTAAGGAACCCTCGAAGCACACGAGGGTCATCGCTGACCCCGATCCTGAATCGATACCAGAAGTGGAAACTCCCGAGAAGACCGAACGGGAAACTCCTGCGATAGCTGATAAATAACTTTAGTGCAATTAAATAGTTTGTAAAGATATTATTCTGTTTTAATTAAATCTAAATTGAATTTTATTAATAATAATTAAATCTAATTAAATTACTTGATTAGTTGTCGGGCTTTTTTCTACCTAGAAATATGTCCTACCATCTTACCTATTCGGGCATTCAAATTGCAGGTAACCCACTGTTTGGTTGTTTGAAGGACCACAGTGTTTTACTGATACTGATCCTTAGATATAATATGGACATAGTTATGCAAACTAGAACCAACCTACAAAAAGGGACTTTATTTATATATGTAGAGATAATTAGATTTTTGTCTCTAAAGTGTGTAGAAATAAATAGGAAAGTTATTTGAAATAAATAACTTTACAACGTTAAGGTTAGTATTGATGACAAATGATTTGGATTATAGTTACTATCTGTTTTTGATTAAAAACCTGACGGTTCAAACAAAATTACTGTTTTGTGGGTTGGTTCTTTATTGCAATATGTTAAGGTTTTTCAAGTAGTAAGGTAGATTGCCATAAATAATTTTAAAATACTTAAAAAACTTATGTATTAATCACATTTTTACTGACTTGAACATATATACTAGTTTTACACATTAAAATTGTACCTGTAACACCTTACTTAAGCAAAACACTGTTATTGATCTTCATCGTAAATTACCTAATCGTCATCATCCACTTCTACCTCAAAATCCACTTCACCAGAAAACCCGTCTATGTCATCTTTAACGGTTGCATCTACTGTTAATTTTTTGCAAAAGTCTTGGGCATCTTCTGGAATAAGATGCAACAGGATTTAAGAAGTCATTTGACTTCGCTTCGGGGACTGGCTTACTATTAGGCCAAAGCGATCCATTAGTTCTTTGGTTAATGAGATAGTATGTCCTCGTAAATTTTTCTTTAAATTTACTTCTACATAGTCAGCATCTGGATCAGATCTCATAAAAATCGAAAACTCATTTTTCCTGACCATTATCTCTTTCATTTCAAGCCAAGAAAATTTTGATCCATCAGTGGCTTTTGAGAAAAAGTCTTCTTTTCTCATACTCTGCACTTGTATGGGTTTATTCTTCTTGCATGTCTGCATTATTCGCATGTAGTCTTCTGACGTATATATTTCTTTGCTGCAATTTTAGAGCACATTCGATTCGGACAAAATCGTTATCATTAGGCAAGAAGCTGTGGCCGGATTCCAAGAAGCGCAGCCTGATTGTTTGGAGTGCTGGGTGATCGTGTAATAAAGATTTCAACATCAGCTTTATGCTTCGGTTTTGACCGCCGCAAGAGTCACTCCAAAGTACAAGGTTCTTCACACCGCCGTCGCCAAGTCTATTCATTACATGCTTAATTAGTTAGCCTATACTACCTGCTTCTTGAGATCCTCTACCCGCTTCTTCGATCGACAACAATTTGCAATGGGCCTGGTCATTGCTTTCTGAGTCGATTCCTAAGTTGTAAGCCCATAGCTGTCTTTTATAAAATTGGTTGGTTTTGCAATAATTTTTTTTGCCTTTTGTAAGTGCTTTCAGTGAGCTTTTTTACTAAAATAGTGGTCGCATTTGTTCTATGTATCCTTTTTAAAGGCTTTGTGCGAAGATTAAGCTTTATTTGGAACACACGTTTAACTTTTGCAAAAGAGAGAACTTTCTGTTTAACTAATTTCGCTTAATCGCTCTATGACATAAATTTTAAGAAAAGTCACGTCAGATCTTTAAAATTTTGCCTTGTTACAATCTGCTCGGCCGATAGTCGGAGACATATGTAGGAAATTTCTGTATTACGTTTATGATAAACGCTTCGCTTTCAGAAGTGGCTTTATTATGGCCGCCATGTTTTCCACGCTTATCGTTTATAAGAATAATCGCGTTTTGCACAGGGATGTATTTACCCTTTTGAAGGTTATCTGAAGAGAGTTTAGAAACATTTTCTGTTTACAAACATTTTCTGTTTACAAACATTTCATGTTTACAAACATACACATCCTTTAGATGATATTCCCGAGTAAATGTATTTTTCTTTGAATTACCGGTACTAGCCGAAACGTATGAAGTATGAACGTTTTATTGGTATTTCTTTCACGCAAGCTGCAATGAACATATTTTGTGCTTCATAAGTGCCTAACGGCGCCTCTACACGTTGGCCAACACAGTGGCGAATGTAGTGGCCAATAGCATTGGCCAACGTGTAGACGGGGTGTTTGGGCTTCATTGGTATGTATTGGAACGATGGCCCGCAAGTTGGCGCGAGATCCGTGTGGTGTCGGTTTTTTACAAAAGATCAAAGGATTGTTGGCGGAGTTTGGTCGCCGCGTCCACACGTTGGCCGCGCGTTTAGTTTGCTACAAGCTCCCAGAGTGATTACACGCATCTGATTTAAATTTTATATTCAAGCTTTGTAGGGTGGATGCCCCAATTACCAGCCTTTTTAGTGCCAATTTCAACTTTAAACATTTCTACTACTTTAATTAGCGCGATTTAATTATTATTGAACATTTGTTTTCATCAATAAGCTATTTATCAAAAAATAATTAACGTTTTTTTACAATCAGATTATTACGAGAACAATTTTAAAATGAAAAAAAGAAATGAAGCATGTCGTTTATACGTGGTAGAACCATGCAATTATATTAGAAGTATAGTTGCAGCACGAAGGTCGGCTCGACCGGGGAAGGACCACGCTCTCACAGAATATCAGCGTAAAATAGTAGCTTAATGATGCTGTGTTTCGTATAGTGAGTGTAGAGAACCAGAGACCCTTTTTAAAGGAAACAAGGCATTTCATCTTAGCCCTCACGGGTGACAACGCATCTGCATTTTGATTCGTAATCGAGGATAGATGTAGATGTCTTTGGGCCACAGTAACCACCTACCATCAGGTGCACTGTGTGCTCGTTTGTCACACTATCCTATAAAAAAACGTCGATTTCTTATAATTTAATCGTGCAAGATTTCGAATCATCATCATCATTACAGCTGTTCACAAGTCCACTACTGAACATCCTCCTCCACAGACTGCCGCAAAGCATGGTCCTGAGCCACTTTGCTCGTCATGAGTTTTTCATTTATGTTCTAAGTTATAATTAGTACCTATTATTAAGGCAGTGTTAGTTATATTTATTGCTATTGTTTTTGTCTTTCTCAAAAAATAATTAAATTACCAAATAAATTATAAGGTGTTTTTTATATACATCAAATTTCTGATAGAAATGCAAGTACATATTTTGCTAAACTTTAAAATCAAAACCCAATTTTAAAACATAGACTAATCGATTATAACTCCTTTAACTTTAAAATAAGTTAAGTTCTTATTAATGGTATTTATTCCAGTTTATGATGCATGTAAAGAATAAATAAAGCTAATCGTATATCGTATATCTATTTACAGCCCCATTAATAACCACTATTATTTTATAATATAATTCTTTTATAAAAACATTAACCCCACACTAGGATTTTCTCCCGTATCGCGCAGGCAGTTTACAATCATAAATTGCACAAGGACACACATCCAGACCCGAAACAATTATTTGTAGGACATACAAGTACTTGTTCCGTGCGGGATCAAACCCGCGGCGCCCGGCGCAGCTACTCATTGCTGAGCCACTGCGCCACGGTGCTTATAAATTCGTCCGCATATTGGCCCGAACCGAAGTAAACTGAACGACCTTCCAACGTGTGGACGCCGTCACCAACTCTCGGCCAATATATTCGCCACTCCATTCGCCACTGTGTTGGCCAACGTGTAGAGGCGACATAAAGCATAAAATTTTTGGAATTCGGTTAATCTATTCTCGCTGGAAATGTTCTCTGGACATTTGTTTTGGACATTTGCAGTTCTAATCTACAAATGGCTTTGGGTCAATGATTTGTTTCCTAGATTTAACATAGGATACATTTTGGTATTTCTTCTCGGGTGTGCTCACCGTATGAACACCGTATATCATGAAGCTGAATGTGGGGTTCAGATTTCATACACTCGTCATTGCGAGAAGAGGAGTTTATGTATTGTTTTTCATACACACGTGCATTAGAACTGCTAACCGGCGTTGTGTTAACGGAAAACAGGCTTATACTTTTGTCACCAAAATTCTCATCAGAGCTGTTCGTGTCTGCAAGAGGCAAAGCCGCAGAATACACAAAAATTTTATTTTCAGATATTATATGTAGCTTATCAGTACTCACATGAATACAAAAAAAAAACTAAAAATATCGTGTCTGCTGAGGCATGCTCACAGAGAGTACTTAGAGAAGCAAACTTTTTGCAAACCCAGGTCAACAGTGACATGCATTTAGCTTGAGAAGATCCATCCACGGAAACAATCGCATTCAACCTGGAAAAAAACTACCCATTCCTCGTTGTTTTGTTGTTTACTGAGAGCTGCAGCAGACACGATGCTTTAAGCATCAGGGATCGAGTGATTATTTCGTGTGTAAAATTGTTTTGATACTTCTGTGGCGCGACGACAGTGCCGCCACATCAAGCACAGAACTGTGGCCGTGAAAGGAAAAGGGCAGATCTCCCGCCGGGCAAGCTGTTGTGTCCGGGGAGCGGCCATCGCTCCGTGTGATATTTCGGAGCTGTCCTATGTATACTGTTTATGATTCGGAACTTTGATAGCGCGATTTAGGCTTCAATGTGTTTCGCTTGTGGCGCGACGATAGTGCCGCCACACTTCAATTTCAATAAATAGAAATACAGTATTAAAAAATATAGTACGGAACATCTACAACGTGCGTGGATTGTGCTCTTGGCTAACGTACCTGTATTCAGATTTATTGTAGGATTGCATGTTAGAAAGTTCTCAATAATACGTAGGCGGTCCCATAATGAATTGGCCTAACTATGAACCAATGAAAGAAATGAAACGATACCAATTTTATTTTTCAATATAATCACCATGAATACTAACACACTTCTGACATCTGTGAATCAACATATCTAAACCTTTATAAAAATAATCACATTTTTTATCCTCAAAATGACTGAAGACGGCCG